TATTCAAGATGTGATCTATTTCTTAGCCTTCTCACCCCATTTCCTGTTTTTACCCCATGGTTTGCTAAGTTTGACTATCTGCTACTTTTAGACAAAATAAATTTTTGCCTCTTTCCCTTTGCACACAGTTTTCTTCCCCTGGCTTATGTACCTCCCTTCTGTCTCTTCTGGTCAAAGATTATCTGTTCTTAAAGGCTCTTCTTGGAAGCCCTACTTAATCCTTGTGAATGTTTGCATTTTTGGCAGCACTTTCTTTGTACTTATATAAGGGTAAATAGTTATTATTCTGCCTTTTATGTTGTAACTAGTTGTGTATTTCTCTTATTGCCATATTGGAGCTTATTCGTATTTATTTCCTGAATACCTAGAGTATTATTTTGAACAAAATATGTGCATGATAAGTGTTTATTGGCTTGAAAGGAATTAAAAGAAAATGAAAGTTGGTTTGGGGGGGCTGTTGAATGTTATCTAGAGGCATGAATTTTTTTGGGTTCTCAACCCTTTAATCTTCCTGTGTACTTTAGTTAATTCAGCCGGGTTGTTTTTGGTAGAAGTAAAAAAATAGTTGAAATTATCAGTGACTTGAAGAAGGGACACCCCCTCTCCTCGCTGAGACTCACAGTTTTTACTTTGAAAGATCACTATTTTTACTTATCTATAGGCAGTTTTATTTTTCTACCCTTCTACTTTCTTTCAGAACCCTGTTGAAGTTTCAGCTAATTAACATAGCTTAAATGTCTTATACTTTATTTCATACATTAAAATTAACTCAAGGGAGCAAAAGTATCCCTGAAGGCTCCTGTGAGCTATTGGAGGAAGGTTAAAATTCAAAGTGGTTTAGCTAATAAATAAGAAAAGAGATGGCTGTTAACATGGCTTTTTTATTCTACAATGAGAGTAGAATTTAAAAAAATTGGAACTATGTTGGGAAGGAACAAGGTTATAGAATATAATTGTGTTACCCAAGCGTTGGCATTAAAAAAGACATTTCACAAAGCTAGCATCTGAGATGCTAAAGCAATTGTTGCACCGATACAACAAATGAAAGTAAGTCACAACATGTTCTACAGAGTCCCTATCGTATGCCAGTGTGGCTCTGTATAATGACAGTTGATGGCTAGATTAAAAGCATATCAATTTAATTTTCAGCATCTTTAGAGCATCTAGAGAAGCACACCTGAATTAGGAAAATCTATAAAAACCATTTTTTCCCTTAATTTTAATATATAAATATTTTTACACACCATTTAAAATATATCTGGTTTTGTGGAATGTTAAACTTGTAGAATTAATTGAGTGGGAATTTCTTCTTTATACATTGGCTGAAAGCTTTAATTTAGCACCATTTCAATGGAAGCTCCTTCCTGTAACTATGATGAAGGTGTGTCTTCGTAGCTTAGCACAGATTTACAGACTAACGAAAATAGCAAACCCAAGCTCTCTAATGCTGCAAGCTTGTAGATTTCCTATATGAGAGGGATCCCTAAAATCTGAGAAAGAGGGGAATGAGAGGGTTGTGTATCAGTGACAAAAGGTAAAGTTAGCAAGACAAGGGCTTGGACCGTACATTAGAATCATCTTCATTGCAAGTTCCAACTAAAGTTTTCATATTACTTACAGAAATATAACTGATTTAGTACTGAAAAAGAAAATGAGGACACAGGATTTATTTTACAGGATAACTTGAAAGCTAATTTTACTGGTCGCTGGTATTCCTTCAAGAGGTGGGAGACCTTTTCAAGAAGCATATGCACCCTCCCATCCTCCCCCTTGGTGAGAATCATCTGCTATGGTGAGTCACAGTCACTGATAGAAATAAGTTACTTCTCTTAGGTGAGTTGGGTTTAAAGAATATTCTTTCAGCTTTCCTTTTTTTCCAAAGAATTGTCAAGCCATGTTTACTTTCTGAAATAAAAGGAATGATTGAAAACATCACTTGACTTTAGTTTAATCAATATCAAATAACTGCATTGTAGTATTTTAAAAGAAGATGTAGGTACAAACAACTTAAAAAAGTGAATAACTTGCAAGTTGCAATTGCCTTTTTTGATGGAAGCACAGTGTTCTTATACAATGTTCTTTTCACATTTCTTACTTCTCTGGCACTTATTATAAGGAACAAAGCATTTCTGGAATGCTCATTTTAATTTCAAAGCCTAGGCTATTCTATGGAAAACATTTGGCGCATGGAGGATCTGAACAATAGAGGAGGAATGTGCAGTGGGAAGCATCATGAATTGCGGCACTTAAATACATTTTGAGGGAACATTTCAGACAATGATACTTATTCTTCATTTTAAACAAAGGTTTTAAACTAGGTGTTATAATTTGTCTTAATCTAGACAAATATCTTTTAACTCTCAATATATAAATTAGACTGAGAAGAGTGAGATATTTGCCTTTTGGAATTCGTGAAAACCCATGTAGTAAATCAGGTTTATTATTCGTCTTCTATAATCCATGATGAAGACACATGATCTATTTAGCTCCTTGTAAAGCATATAGAATGTGCTTTGTTAACTGCCTTTATCACGTTTAACATGGGGAGCCCCAAGAGCAAGATAAGCTTAGGTCCAGATAGAATACCTTTGAAAAGGATTCCCATAACCAATTTTCTGAATCCATGTGGGGAACAAACTAGAAAATATACATGAAATGCCAACAAATATTTGTGTCATATTACGCAGTTTACAAAATACTTTACCTCATTTGACCTTCCCCAGTCTTGTAGGATAATAGTGATTGTTCTTATTTTCTAAGAGAGGAAACAAAGGCCTACCACAAGACCTTCCACTCTGGGTGATGAACATGGAAATAAAGCAAATTAGAATGAAATAGAGGATCTGTTGAATAAGGGGAGGAGGGTAGGAGGGCAGACAAAAATGGTTTTCATCTACATATTTCCCACATAACTTATTAAGTCCGTTTTTAGTTTGTTGATGAAAACTGGGTACAGATATCCAAGTAAACAAACATCAAATGCTCCATAAACAACCAACAAGCAAAATCTCTGGAGGCTACTAAGCAGGAAGTGGTATGTAGTTTGCTGTCAAAGATGTGGTGCATGATTATTATGAGCCTCCACTGTTTCATGACTTGCAGCAGCTTAGCTTTCAATAGGAGTTTCAGGTCTTCTATTTTAAATATTAGATACAAGTTGTTTTTTTCCTTTCTCCCATTCCTCTACGATGGTGATTTTAAAGCTTTGTTTATAAAAATTTAATCCAAAACTTGTAATTGTGATCCAAGATTTAATTAAGAAATGGGGTTTTTTTAAATAGTATAATTCAGTATGATGTTTTTGTTTCCAAATACAGAAGCTTAATTTTTATTTTTAAGTAATGTTCTTATTATGAGTTTGTTATTGTATTTAAGATTTGTTTCTTTCTTTTTTTGTTTTTGTTTTTTCCCAAGCTTTATTAAGTTAAAATTGGCAAATAAAATTTGCATATATTTATGGTATACCCTGTGATGTTTTGATATATGTATACATTGTAAAATGATTAAATCAAGCTAATTAATACATTTATCACTTCATATCCTTGTGTTGAGGAGTTTGTTCAAGTTTTACTACTGGAAGAATGCTCTAGAAGCCTGTGTATATATGTGCATTGTTTTAATTACAGAAACTTCATATAAAAAATATAGAACTCTGATAAAACAGTCAAAAATGAGAGAAGTAGAAATTTATCTCTAAAATATCAAATAATTGTAAAATAAAATTTATACCACTTTTTAGCCAGCAATCTACATTAAGAGGGAGCCAAAAATAATTATAATGAAGTCAGTATTAGTTTATTTAGGCTGAGAATAGAGATAACTAATATTAGGAGAGGGAGAAACATTCTGAATCATATAAAACAGTGGTTGCCTCAGAGGGCAAAGGCCAAATCCTTACTATGACCTACTTTCTTGCCTTTTGTAACTTCTCAGATCTGTCTCCTACACTTTCCCCTAACTCATTTGGCCTCTCAGACTGGCCCCTGTTGAGGGGCCTTTCCTGACCACCACTCACTCCCACCCTGGCTCACTCTGTTCTCTCCCCCAACTTTGTTTTTCCTCAAAACATTTACTAAGCCTTACATTTTTTATTTGTTTATATGTTTATTGTATGCTGCCAATACTAAGAATGTAAACTCCATAAAAGCATGAAATGCATTATTTTTCCATCATCCAGAACAATGTAGAAAGTAGGTGTTCAGTAAATATTTAACACGGAAATGATCTGATCAGTGGGATAGTTGAAGAGAGGGACATTTTAATGTGTATATTTTGAAATTCAATCGCAATGGCTCTCACTTCTTTCCTGTCTTTGGTTGAGAGCTCCATGGTGGCCAATGCGCTGTTCTTGGTGCCATGACTTGACTTTTGCAGATTTGCCAACAGCACTGGAAATGAGTCATGTTACTATGAAATACATTTGACTTTTGAACAACACTGGTTTGAACTGTGCAGGTCCACTTTTATTTGAATTTTTTTTCAATAAAAGTTACACCAAGTGTGCCTGCCTCTCCTGCCTTCCCTTCCACCTTCTCCATCTTTTCTGCCTCTTACACCGCTGAGGCAGCAAGACCAACCCCTCCTCTTCTTCCTCTTCCTCAGGAATATGAATATGATGAGGATGAAGACCTTTATGATGATCCACTTCTACTTATTGAATTGTAATTATGTTTTCTCTTCCTTATGATTGTTTAAATAATACTATCTTGTCTCTAGCTTATCTTATTGTAAGAGTATAGTTATATAGTACATATAGATAAAAGATCTGTGTTAATTGACTATGTTATCAGGCTTCTGGTCAATGGTAGGCTATTAGTAGTTATGTTTTTGAGGAGTTGAAAGTTATACTCAGATTTTCAACTGCACAATGGGTTGGCGCCCCTAACCCTTGAGATGCTCAAGAGTCAACTATATTTCCTTTCGTTCTGGGCTGTAATATTCCAGGACTGTGTTCTCCTTACAATTTGTCAATTGAGTACTTTGTATGTTTTCAATTTTAGGTTACCACACTTGTAAACTGTCCCCAGAACCCTTCCAACAGGAAAAAAGGACGTTCGAAAAGAGCCAGTGTTCTTCTAGCTTCTGTGGAGGAAGCAACTTGGAATTTATTAAACAAGGGAGAGAAGATTGCCCAGGAAGCGACAGTTCTAAAGGATGAGCTTACTGCTTCACTTGAGGAAGTTCGCAAAGAAAGTGAGTACTCTAGTCCTGATCAGGAGTAAACTGCATATCTTTAGGGTGTTAGTCACCAAATTAGATTTGTGAGTGTGTTATTTTTGTTGGCTCCTGTTTTTCAATCTTTTGCAGAGCTGTGAAGAGCTAGCTGTGGGAGGCAGAGAGGCTCATTAGACAGCTCCAAGGCTCGGTCCCACTGTGGGCTCTTCTTTTTAGTCGTTTGGTACCCCCAGGCAATTCTTCTTCCTCCCCCGCCTTGCCATAGCTTTTCCATAAAAAACAAAGAGAAGAGTACCCTTTTTTGGTCATAGAATATAGTGAGAAATGACTAATGAAGCTGAAGATTTGTCTATACATAAATAAATTATGAAGTTCCTTGTAAACAGTTGGGAAACAGAAGTTTCAGACCTGACCACCACAGAAGTACATTTTTAACTTTGCAATTTTCTGGAGGTTTACATTTCCTAAACTTTTTAAAAAATGCTTTGCATAAACTATGCATGAGCCAAGTTCCTGCTTTGTTAATATTACATAATAAAAGCATATATCTAATCTTTTTGAGATCTTTACATATGATAATACAGCAATTTTCTAATGAATATAAATCTCATATGTAGGATAGTTTTAAAATAATTGCTGAATATTTTTTGGTTAGTAGAATGATGTCGTATATATCAGCTTTCTGCAACTATCTATTTTGGGAGGAAAAGGAAAGTTAAATTTTCTTGTTCAGCTTTGTAAAAGAGACTTGGGATTTTTAAATATTTTTCTCCATCAACTCCCAACATAACTTTAAGAAAATCAATAAGTCTTTGCTAATTAAATAATTAAAATGAATATACTAGTCACAGTAAACTTTATGTCAAATGTATGATAGGGGATTATTTGTTATATACTTAAAAATTTTTATATTTACATAAATTTATTTTCTAAATAAATTTTATTGTGTAAATTTAAGGTATACAACATGATGTTATGAAATATACATAAATAGTAAAATGGTTACTATAATAAAGTAAATTGACATAGTCATCATCTCACAGTTTCCCATTTCTGTGTGTGTGTAGCAAGAGCATCTAAATCCACTCATTTAGTAAAACTCCTGAATACAACATTATTAACTGTTGTCTTGGCGTTGTATGTTAGATCTCTAGAGTTGTTCATTCTTCATAACTGCAACTTTGTATCCTTTGATCTGAATTGGCCCGCTTCCTCACTCCTGCCCCCAGCCCCTGGTAGATACTGTGTTATTCTCTATCTCTGTCTATGTGACTTTCTTAAACAAAGATTCTACATATAAGTGATATGCAATAGTTTTCTTTCTATGTCTAGCTTATTTTACTTAGCATGATGTCCTCCAGTTTCATCCATGTTTGTGGGTCTGTCCTGCAGACCCTGACTCAGCAATGGATGAATAATGTACACTGAAACACAGAATACAGTGAATGGGTGGGCTGGGGTGTCCGGGCCACTAACAGACACTCGAGAAGAGTGCTGTAAAGAGATAGCAGCTGCCGGCCCTGACCCGCTGGCATCACTGGCCTTTATTCAGCACACATTAAAGACAAAAGTCTGAGTCAACACCACTAGAGGTTAAAGATTAAAGGACAGGCTCTGAGGCCTAAAGCAAATCCATTAGTGGGTAATATCCTTAGTCAACCTCCCCCTGAGAGAGCCATCTGAAATATCAAAGGTTAGTTTATCGGACCACATGTGTAAACAAGTTATTCACATAAATTCCCCCACATTTCCTAGCTATTTGCTTTTGTTAATAACTAAAGGTAAAGGGGATAAGGCTGCATTCTGCTGAAACTTCTACTGAAACTATGCAGATTTCTTGGCCTTTCAAGAAGGTTTGTGACTATATAACTTTCTCTAATATTCTTTCCTTAATACTTTTGCCACCACCCTGACTGAACTCCTACAATTGTGACAAATGACAGGATCTCCTTTTTTATGTTGTATGTATAGACAAATTTCTTTATCTATTCATCTGTTGATGGACGCTTAGGTTGTTTTCATGTCTTGACTATTTTAAATAATGGGACAGTGAATATGGGAGTGCACGTATCTTTCTGAAGTGGTGATTTCCTTTACTTCAGTGTTATACCCGGAAGAGGAATTGCTAGCTCTTATGGTAGTTCAATTTCTCATTTCTTTAGGAACCTCCACACTGTTTTCCATAATGGCTAGACTTTGTTATATATGTTATATATAATTTATATTTTATAGATATTCTTCAGACAATATGTAGAAAACATAATGCACAAGGTAATTTGAAAGATATTTGTTGTTTTTCCTTGCTTCTTACCAACTCAGACCCACTCTGTCCTTGTTCTTGATCATCAGCTTCGTCACCAAGTCAGTTTAGACTCTTCCTTTCATTCCACTGTTGCTTCCAATTAATGTCTAAGTTCAATGAACTTTTAAAAACTTTTCTAAAATTTTTATTTTAGGTTGAGGGTACATAAGATGTCATATAGGGGTTTGGTGTACAAATTATTTCATCAGTCAGGTTCAATGAATTTTTTCTCCTTGTGTCTCTCAGATCTGCTCTTTCTACTCTATTCCTAACATTGCTTCATGCATTTAGGATTATTACATTAGCCTTCCTCCATAGTAAAATCAAATGGATCTTTTAGAAATGAAAATATACTCATTTTACTTCTCTGCTTAAAATCATTTTTAGTAGCTGTTAGAAGATCAGGGAGACTGTCTGCTTAAAATCATTTTTAGTAGCTGTTAGAGGATCAGGGGGACTGTCTTTTTCAATAAAGTTCAAACTTTTAAACCTACCTTCTAAAACATTTCATGATTTGGCTTCTACCATTATCTTGCACCTCATTTCCTGTGACTGCTCCTGCCTCAAATATCCCTCCAAACAGGAACTTGCAGTTTCTTGAATGTTCCATGTTGCTTTATACCTCTGTGCATGTGTTACTAGCTACAGTTATACCTTACTTAACAATGTGGACATGTTTGAGAAATGCATCCATATGGTATTTTGTCATTGTGTGAACATCATAGAGTATGCTTACACAAACTTAGATGGTATAGTCTATAACACACCTAGGCCATATGGTATAGCCTGTTGTTCCTAGGCTACAAACCTGCGCAGCGTGTTACTATACTGAATGCTGCAGGCAATTATTAATATAGCATAGCAGTAAGTATTTGTATATCTAAATATAGAAAAGGCACAGTAAAAATACGGTATACAAATTAAAAAATGATATGCCTGTGTAGGCACATACAATGAATGGAAGTTGCAGGACTGTAAGTTGCTTTGAGTGAGCCAGTGAGTGGTGAATGCCTACGACATTACTGATTGTCACTGTAGACTTTATAAACAATGTACACTTAGGCTACCCTAAATTTATTTAAAAATATTTTTCATTCTTCTGTAATAAGTTAGACTTAGCTTACTTTATAAACTTAAATTTTTTAAAACTTTTTGTCTCTTGCAGTAATACTTAGATTACCACAAATACATTGTACAGCTGCACAAAAATATTTTCTTTCTTTATATCCTTATTCTATAAGCTTTATTTCTTTTCTTTTTTTTTGACACAAAGTCTTGCTCTGTCACCAGACTGGAGTGCAGTGGCATGATCTCAGCTCACTGCAACCTCTGCCTCCTGGGCCCCAGTGATTCTTCTGCCTCAGCCATCTGCATAGCTAGGATTACAGGCATGCGCCACTATGCCCAGCTAATTTTTTGTATTTTTAGTAGAGACAGGGTTTCACCATCTTGGCCAGGATGGCCTCAATCTCTTGACCTCATGATCCACCCGCCTTGGCCTCCCAAAGTGCTGGGATTAGAGGTGTGAGCCACCGGTCCTGGCAGCTTTATTTCTTTTTAAAATTTTTAATTATTATTATTTTTTTACTGTTTAAAGTTCTCTACTAAAATTAAGACACGAATACACCCATTAGCCTAGACCTACACAGGGTCAGGGTTATCTTTATTACTGCCTTCCATGTTCATATCTTGTCCCACTGAAAGGTCTTCAGGAGCAATATCATGCATGGGAATTTTCATCTCCTGTGATAACAATGCCTTCTTCTGGAATGCCTCCTGAAAGACCTTCTGGAGACTGTTTTACAGTTATCTTTTTTTTTTTTAATAAGTAGGAGTAGTCTAAAACATCAATAAAAAGTCAGCATAAGAGGTTTGTTTACATCAGTGTCACCAAAACCCACAGGCATTGCACTGCAACGTTATTATGGTGATGAAGCCACTAGGCAATAGGAGCTTTTTGACTCTACTATAATCCTGTGGGACCACTATCATGTATGCATCTGTTGTTGATCAAAATGTTGTTATGCAGAATATGACCATATTCCTGTCACTTGGATTGTCTTTCTAATTCAGCCAGTTCTTACTCATGTAGCAAAGCTGAGCCCAGGTCATCTTTTCCAGGAAGTGTTTCCTGACCCCTCGATGCTGATTTAGATGACTGTCTTCTGTGTCCTCACACAGACTCTGAACATCTCTCATTCATGACACTGACCACCCCATACAGTAAACATTGATATACTTGTTTAGTAAATCTTGACTGTTAGTTAATTTATTGAGTATGGCAGGTACCAGTTATTATTTGATTACCAATGCCTGACACATACAGATAACTGTTTTTTTTTTTTTTTTTTTTTTTTTTTTTTTT